GAGAGAGAGAGAGAGAGGGAGAAGACATAAATGAGGCGTCTTGGGGGGCTGACTTTCCGCACTGGGGGCAATCTTCGCTGCAAAAGTAAGGAGAACATCGGAAGAAGAGTTCCTTACAACACCAACTACCCCTGTCAACCCTGGGTTCCCAAGATAACTCCAATCAAAATTAAGTTTTATAGAATGTTCCAACAGTGCGTACCACATTCCTTTTGGTCAAAGATGCCAAGTAACGTTGTTAATAGTATTATTAAGGTTCTGCCAAAAATCCAATTAAAAAAATCAGCACTTTTTTTAGAAATTGATAACCAATGTAGTAGCCTGCCTCTAATATCCTTCATATTAAGAAAAACACCATCAAAAAGTCCTTCAATTCCTCTCGTTCCAAACCTCTCATAAAATTGCTACTTTAAAAATCTTCTAAACAAGCTGACCACATTTTGGAAATCCAGGAGATCCAAATGCTAAAATATATGAGCATGTTCTTGAGACAACATCAAATGAACCCCCATCAAATCAAATGCGCATCCCTATATGGAACTAATAAAAGGACATTATAAAAAAATATGATTACCATTCTCCTCATTCCTTTTGCAAAGCAAGCAAATTTCGACAAAGATCTTGCCTCTCTTTCTCAAATTATGAATAATAAGAGACTTGCCTTGAAGGAGAACCCACAAAAAAGCTTCAACTTTATGCAGGACAAGCAACTTCCAAACTAGTCTCAACAAACTACGCACATTTCTATAGGGATCATGATAAAGACGTCTATAAGCAGATCTGGCCCAAAAACCCCATCTTGCTGCAACTCCCAAACCACCCCATCGTCATAATTTCTAAATATATAGATTGAATTAAGGTCATGCAGCAGCGACGACAACTGATTAATGACCATATCTGGCATTTTATTGTATACACATACCACGCTTCAATGAGAAATTTGCTCATGCCTGATCAAGTTATCTTCAATCGATGTTGTCTAATTGGAAACTCTATCAAACAATTGTGGATATGCTAGTTTCAAAGACAGTTCCCCAACTATCTATGATGCCAAACGCTTATCTTGTCATATCTGCCAACAACCCACCTCACAATCTTGGTAACAATGTTTTTCACTCCCCATATACCTTTCCAAATATCCAAACAACATGTTCTCCTACCCCCTCAACCACACATGACGGAATCTACACTAAATCAATATTTTGCTTCAATAACTTGTCTCCATAACTGACCATCACAATATATATTGCTCTCCACCACCATTTCGCTAACAAAGACATATTGACAAGTTTAAGTTTTCTTATCCCGAAACCTCTTTCATTTTTAGGAGCACAAACTTTATTCCAACTCACCAAATGATACTTCACCTTCTGATCTACATTTTCCCAAATGAAATTCTATCAAACAATTGTGGATAAGCTAGTTTCAAAGATAGTTCCCCAACCATCTATGATGCCAAAAGCTTATCTTGTCATATCTTCCAACAACCCACCTCACAATCTTGGTAACAATGTTTTTCACTCCCCATATACCTTTCCAAATATGCAAACACCATGTTCTCCTGCCCCCTCAACCACACATGAAGGAATCTACACTAAATCAATATTTTGCTTCAATAACTTGTCTCCATAACTGACCATCACAATATATATTGCTCTCCACCACCATTTCGCTAACAAAGACGTATTAACAAGTTTAAGTTTTCTTATCCTGAAACCTCTTTCATTTTTAGGAGCACAAACGTTACTCCAACTCACCAAATGATTCCTCACCTTCTGATCAACATTTTCCCAAATGAAATTCCTCTTGCCAATAGATGGAGGTATCATAAGTAGCGACATTTGATAAATAGGTAGGTTTTCCAAAGAAGATCTCTTAAAAATGATGTGTCTGTCCATATATAGAACCTTAGTTTTCCATAAATCAAGCTTAAAATGAACTCTCTTCACCACTTGATCCTATGTTGACTTGGATAGCCTAGAATATGAAACGGGCAAACGAAGGTAAGTCATCGGAAAGGTATCCACCTTGCACCTAGCAATTAAAGTAAGATACTCCGGAACACCAATCCCATAGTTTACCCCAATTGTTGCGGTCTTCTTAAAATTAACCTTTAAGCCCAACACAACCTCATAAGACATAAGAAACTTTGTGATATAAGCCACCTGTTGAACATTAGCACCCCAAAAAAATTAAAGTAACAATACTGCAAATGTGAAATAGATGGTCTATCCCTTGATGCTTTGAAGCTAGAAAATTTTTCAAACCCTCAACCTTGGAAATCATCAAACAAAAAGCTTCTCCCACCAGGGTAAAAAGAAAAGGAGACAATGGATCTCCTTGCCTACCACCTTTGGTAGCATCACAGAAACCCTTTGGAGAGCCATTAACAATGACAAAGAAATGCGCACTAGAAGACAACCCCAAATCCAACTTCGCTATCCGCCACCAAAGCTCTTACACTTCATTATCTCTGAAAGAGTTTGCCGCTCCACTCTGTTATACACTTATACCTTGATATTCACACTCCCACCCTTCGAAATAATGTCAATAATAAAATCATCAACCCTTAGTTTAAGATATTTTTTTGGGTAAAGGTGATAGGACATTCCTTGAGACCCTGGCTCTAACGAGAGAGCAATCAAGACTATTAACAAATTTACAGTCAACATCCTTAAAGATACCACACGTATTCTCAAGGTTTTGAAAGACCCCGAGATTCCAAGCAAGAAAAGGAACACCCCAAAATCTAATCTATACATCCTCCCCAGGTACATGAGACACATGAGCACTAGGGGTCCAATGAGACAGTGACCCTCGGGCTTTCTAGTGTCTTACTTTCAAGGCCTTAGAAACGTCATCCTGAGATTTCAAGAAAAACGAGATCCTATTGTCTCTGAACTTCTTCACCACATGATCATAGGACAACATCCTTGCTCTCCTTGCCGAATCACTAAAGCCAAAAAGATAATTTGAAGGAGACAAAAACGATCCTACTATCAATTCCTCCACTACTTTCGAAGTTCCCCTTGACACATACACAAGGGAAAAAAACCACCATCTTCAGCGCATACTTTGCGCATCCTCCCTCTTCCACACTCTCTTATCTCGTTATAAACTGTGGTCTCCTTTCTTTCCTAGATCCATAGAGGAGTCTGTTTCTTCTTTACACTAGGTACAGGGATTTTTGCAAACATCAAGAAGTTTAACATGTGTTCACTTCAGGGTTTCTATGTGATCTACTTCTTTCTTTGTTTTCTTCCCCCAAGTTGGATTAGATCTCTGTGCTATCAAGAAGCTTAACATGTATAGATTTTTTGTTTCTATTTGATAGGAATTTTTTTTTTAATTAGATCTATGTGCTCTAAAAATGATCTACATCTTTGTGCTCTAAAAAAAGCGATATCTAAAACCACACATTGAAAATATTTATTATCATCCCATTCCAATTTCCATTTAGGAAATTTATTTACATAAAGTTCTAATGTTTACAAGGATTTTTTTCCTCTCTATTAGTCTGCATATGCACTGATTGTGGGGGTTCGTTCATGCAATTTAAAATCTTTGGTCACTTATCCTTAGGTGGATAGAAGGAGCATATGAAGTTCCTGATAATGGTAGAGTAAACTTGGAGCATATGATGTTCAGGATAATGGTAGAGTAAACTTTG